TTCTAGTTGCAACACTTGTATTATTTTGCAACTTTTTTTATCAAATTCATTACAAGGTGCATAGCATTTTGATTAAAAGTATCATATGAATAAGGATATATGGATATCGATTACTTCACTATTTCAATGAATTCATGTGACTATATGCTTGTTTACTACCTTACAATTTAAAAAAAAATTGTGTAACCCTAACACCGACAATGAAGGTGACTGTACATAAAATTTCTATGTTCTCTTTATTTTTTTAAACATATTTACTAACAGTGTGGATGGCTGAATTCCCGTAAATGTGCCGGATTCAGTCTGTAACATCTCTCTCCATAAGAACATTCCGTTTTAACTCTTTTGGATGCAATATTACCTGGAAATTATAAGATTTGCATACATATTTACGTAAAAGTTTTATTTTCTTAAAAGCAAAGGTCGAAGTATTTTTTTATTGTTAGTAAAAATAAAAATAGGGCAAAGGTACTTTAATCTCAAGAATTTGTGTTCACATACTTTCCATTTTCTCATTTCGTTTACTTGAACTGCTCATAATTTCTGATAATACTTTACACTTCTAATAAATTGTAATAAATTGGGTTATTGTAAGCGTAGGCATAAAAAAACTTAAATTAAAAAATATCGTTATCAATGTTTACTAAAGTTAAAATGGCAATGACAGATGACACTGACAAAAGATTCGATACAGTAGTGTTAAAGTAATAAACTACAAAAACTACCAAGTTATTGAGTCTTTCCTGGAGCTAAAAACATAACATTTTGAGAACCATTTCAAAATTAATGTTCTCATTATAATTATAATTTCATCCAATTGAAATATATACCTACCTTTAGAAAGGTTTTTTTTTTTTTTTAGGTATATTTGGCAACACTCATTCATGCATTCAACAAGTTTTGACATTGACATTAACTTTGTTTTGTTTGCAAAATTGTTCGAATTATAATTTGTTGATTTAAGCATTCGTCGTCCAATTCTGTTAAAAGGTAACTTTCAGTATAAACTAATCATTTTTTCGTAGCAGCTGAAGTTCCTTTACATGTAATTAACATTGTTTCTTGTGTTTTATTGTAAATAACAGATATGAACGACGACCCATTCGTATCCTGTCCATATAACATCGCCCATCGCGTACCAAGATCGCGAATCCAAGCGCACATAGTAAAATGCGAGAAGAAGGAGAACTTGAACATATGTCCATATAACGCGACCCATAGGTTACCGGAAGCGGAAATGAAACATCACGTCATGAATTGTCCATCAAAAAGCGCCATTTTCCCTGAAGATATTAAACGGAAGACCACAGCATTCCTGCATACACCTAAACCTATTTTACAAAAAGATTATTTACCAGAAACCGACCCTCATCATGAGATATGGGATGACTGATTATTAAAATATAAATTTTACTTTAAGAGTTAGAATTAAGTTTATTTCAAATTTTGTAAGAATTATAACAATCTAACAAATATTATAAATGCGAAAGTTTAGATGTATGGATGCTTGTTAGAGTTTGTAGCCTAAACGGCTGAAAGGAGTTCGGTGAAATCTGGTACAGATGTAGAGGATAGTCTGGAAGAACACAGGCTAACTTTTGTTTATTTTTTTTAATTCCGCGCACAGAGTCGCGAGCGAAAGCTAATTTAGTTAATATAAGACATGTGGTAACTCAACTAAAATTGATCTGCAGATCAGCACACTGTTCACATAAAGCAGGTCTGTGAACTAGCTCACAGATTCAGCTCAATTTGTATGCATAGAAATTTACTGAGCTGAGTCATTGGACAGAGTCTCATACTTGTAGTATTTTGCAAGTTGTAATCTGTTAATTTAGCTGAGCCACAGCTCAATAGTACATAAGTACATAAACTGATGTTTTAAACTGTTTGTGAACAGATTTTATGCATCTAGTTAATATTAAAATTTGATATATTCTTAATAACTCTGTTTTTCTAATTTCAAATTCTTACCCTATATATGCTAAAGTATACATGGATACTTACTACATATCCAAATAACCTAAAAGGAATCTTGATCTTTGGCACAGATATAGAAAAAAAGTCTGCAATAAATCACAAACATTTCAATAATTCTCCACTAAGTTGCAGACAGAATTGAAATTTTAAACGATCATCAGACATAAGGACATTTTTAACTGAATGGAAACTGTTCCGTCAAAACTGTGTTGGCATTTGTTTCAACAGTGGTAGTGCCCACTTTAACACCTTAGCACGAATAGGCCGGCACGCCCCCAGCAATACCACAACCACACAGAAGACAGCCGTGAAATGGAACCAATTCCGTGTTTCGTCTGATGAGTGTGGTGTCGTAGCCCTAATTTAAGTCCCTTTCTCTTTACCACTTTCTTCTTTTAAAGGGAGGATGGGAGGGGGAAGTAGATTTGACGGAGGAGGAGACACATCGGGCAAACATTCTCTTATGTGCGTCTTCTCTCTAATAAGGGTTGGCAACGCATCTGCAATTGCGGATGTCTGTGCAGCGGTCGTTTCGCCATTTTGGCGGATTCATTCCGCTTGCTCGTTTGCCACCTTATGTAATAACAAAAAAAGATAAAACACAATTAATAAATATTTTCAACCTTTATTTGAATAGTCAAGTTATGTACAGTTATTCAGTTTGGCTTGGTGTGGCTGCTCGGAGAGATTTCTCCAAATTCTTTAATGCTGGTGTGATATTACTGCCCAAATCTTCTACAACACTTGATAAATACACTGTAAATAACAAATATTAACAAGACTTTGACTAGAAAACCTATACTTAATTTTAAAAATAAAATAAAAAAATATTGAATTATCAAACTGTTTAAATTTAAACATGAACAAAAGCTTTGAAACCAAATATTATGTCAAATAATTGGGTAAATATAAAATTTGACAAGAATATCATTTATATACCAGCGGTTCTCAAACTTTTTTTCCTATTGTGGACCCCCAATTTTGTTAATAACCGTTCAGACCCTTCCGGATTTTTATAGACCCTTACAGGTCAACAGACCACTAAAAATAACTCCTACAAAACAATACCTAAAGAATAATTAATTTGATATAAAATTATATTTTGTTATAATTACCAATATCAGTGAGACATCGTTTAGTTCCCAAAGCGTCCATATTCCGTACATTTAATATCTTCTCAGCATAAACTTCACATGTATGAGCACAAACCTATAAAACAAGTAAAAAAAAACATAAATTTCACTATTAAAACAAATAAATAAACGATTTCTTCTACATTTTCTTAACAACAGTGATTCTCAAACCTTTTTTCATTAAGACCCCTTATATAATATGACTGATTTCTATAAATTTTATGACAATTTATTTTTTAAACCCTTAATTTTATATCCCCTTGAATATTCGATCCCAGGGGGTCGCTTCACTTTGGGGGTCTCTAATCAAAAGTAACAAAAATATTACCTCAGATAAAAACTGCCATGGCGCTTGCTTTTCTGGTAAATGCATTTCTAAATGTTGAGGTAACGTCATCAAATATTGACCAATCTGGAAAAAACATCTTAAACCATTATTATTATGAACAATATTATATACTAGCTGTTCCAATGCGGCTTTATCCGCATTTTATTATAAACACTTTTATTATTTACATACCGTCAAACTTTTAATTGCAAGTCAAAATTAAAATACAAAAATAACAACGAAGGTATTTTTCATTGGCTAACCTTTACTATGACAATCTTGCTTCTTTGCAATAGTTTTGAAGTTGCTATCTCTTTCTAGCATATGTTTTTCCCATTTTATTCACCATCTAAGTTGAATAGCGTGAAAATATAGCCTATAACGTGTCGTAAGTGTAGGGGGTTTTATTAAAAAAATAATAATTCATAAATATACTGTGATTGCTGACATCTTAAATAATAAAGTGTGTGTTATCTATAATATTATAATAAAGCGTAAACACACACTTCTTTGTTGCCTAAGATCTCAGCAATTACAGCATATTTTTGAATAATCCTTTTTCTAATTAAAAGCTCTACACTTACGTCACGCTTTAGGCTATATATATTCTAGCCATCAAACATAGGGGGTAAATATTTTGAATAAAAACCCTAATATAGGAAAGAGACCAAAAGCTGTTGCCAACATCAAGGAAGGAAGATTGCCATTGTAAGGTAATTGGTATTTTGACATTTGCGATTGAGAATTTGATAAATACAAACAATAAATTTATAATTTCACGCGGATGAAGCCGCACGCGAACAGCTAGTTTTATTATATTAGTATAGATTACCTCTGTAATATATTCTTGTGGGGACAAAGCGAAGTCTGGCAACTCCGTTGACAACGCATCATTGTTATGCCAAACTGATAATTGTGGTATTTTATCTGAATAAAATACAGCACAATTAAAGCAATGGTAAAGGGGAGAGGATAGGAACGGGAGAGGATACATATGGGAAGAGAGAAATCCATATTTATATCAAACTTTGTTCTATCTTTCAATTGTTACAAACATCTTTGAGTGGCAATTCGCTATTTTAGCGAATTCATTCGAGCGTTAACTTTGGCATATTGTCTATCTTACTAACATTATAAATGCGAAAGTTTGGATGGATGTTTGTTAGAGTTTATAGCCTAAACTGCTGATCGGATTTCGATGAAATTTGGTATAGATGTAGAGGACAGTCTGGAACACAGGTTACTTACTTTTATTTTTTAATTAACGTAAACGGAGTCGCGGGCGAAATCTAGCAATATTATAAAGAGAAAAGCTTTGATTGTTTTTAAATAGTTCCAAAACTATTGAACCGACTTCAAAAAATCTATCACCAATAAAAAATCACTAAGTAACAGAGAATATTTTAACGGGAAGGGAAATATAACAGAAAAGATTTGAGAAAAATGTATTATTTTCGACATTACCAAGTTGTACATCCACTGGATTCCTTAGAACAGCTCTGGCGAGAGATCTGAGCTGTTCTCTAGCGCGCTGCAAACCTGATACTGAGGTCAGCTGTGGTTGTACCACATCACCATCTAGGACACTCTTCAGGTCCAGGAGTGGATGTTCTGGATCTTCACCTGGAAGGGAATGACTTTGCTGCCTGACATTTTGCTGTTGAGTTCTAGATAAAAAAAAATCCTACTAAATAAATGCCTTTATTATCAGTAATTATTCTAGTGAATTATTTGTTTTCCGTAAAATTTTCAATTGCAAATGTTATTTCAAATGCTTAAATGACATCGAAGACTTTACAATTGGTTAACAATTACCGTTATAATGGCAATCTTGATTCTTCGTTGCTATTGTAGCTTAGGGGGTAAATAAATTGAAAAAAATCCTAAATGTGGGAAAGGGAACATAAACTACAAGCTGCCAACATTAAGGGAGCAAGGTTATTACGGTTATTATGAAATATGCAATTGAGATTGACAAATGTAAACAATAAAATATTTTATATAAATAGTTTTCATAATTTAATGCGGATAATGCACGGGAACAACCATCATTGTTCTGACCTACCTTCCTCCAGTCTATCAGCGAGGACCTTGAGCAGTTCAGCAGCAGCAGCTTCTAGAGCGAGAGCTGCGGGGAAGGTCTCACTGAGCACGCCGGCGCTGAGGCCGGACCTCACAGAGGACAAGAAGTTCGTCTCTATTCGACGACTGTGTGTTGATATTAGAGAGAGGATTGATGATGATAACGCCTGAGGATATTTATTTATTTAATAATAGTTTTCGCCCGCGACTCCTTTCGCGTGGAATTGAAAAAAAAAACCAAGCAGCCTGTGTTCTTCCAGATCGTACTCTACAATTCTGCCAAATTTTATCAAGATCCGTTCAGTAGTTTAGGCTACAAACTCTAACAAACATCCATCTAAACTTTCGCATTTGTAATATTAGTGTGATTTGCCCGCGACTAAGTCTGCGTGGAATTATAAAAAGTAGTTAGCAAATGAAGCTCTACATCTATACTAATATTATAAAGAGAAATTGTTTTATAAAACTACCCCCCACTTTTCCTACTATTTCCTAACAGTATGTATTGAAAGAATTTAAAAACTACAGGGCCGATTTTAATTTTCAATATTAACCATTAAAAAGCTACGTTATTGCTGAGTAAGAAATGCTATATTTTTTTAATTTCACGCAAAGTCGGAAAGTAGTCTATAATTATTCAATATTAAAATAATGTATTATCTTAAGTAAGAGTAAATTGCTACATTACAAGTATACTTGTAAAGTCTAGAACACATAGGCTATTTACTTTTTTTCTACGCGGAGTCACGGGGGAAAGCTGGTGAAAGACACACTAAATATACTTAAATATGTACATATGAAATTCAAAAATCACATTGGTACGGGATTCGAACCCAGGACCTGGAGATTACAAGTCAAGTGCTTAAGCCTGATTACCTCAACTGCAGGTATGTAGTAAGGTAGAACAGCATTCCCAGCAATCTTCCTTCCTCTAGCGTACGCTGTACTGAGCCAGCCCTCACACCGCTCAGCCACACTGAGCAACGCTCTAGAATGTTCTAGAAGTTCATCCTACAACAAGAAGCAGGACTCTTTTATAGAATTAGATATGAAAATTGAGATTAACTTGAATAGAAAAAACTCTAGGAATGAAAAATGGTGTATAACTGAAGTTACGTTTGCAAAAAAAACATTTTTTTATATTGTAAAATGAATTATTTAATTTAGAAATATTTTATAGTATAAAAGAACTTTACTTGATATTGCAGTGATTTGCAAAATGATTTAGGATCCCTAAGGGTCTACAGATAAGATGGCAGAAAATGTGACGCACTTAAATTTATTTGATGTGGGGTTTATGAGGAAAAGGTGTGACCCACTAATTTTTTTAAGAAATGTTGGGTCTAATCTGGGGTCTAAAACAAAAACCTTCTTGTGACTTTTTAAATTTATTTTTAAAGAAATAGGGGGTCTGTTCTGGGGTCTATAAGAAAAAAGTTTGGGAATCACTGGTTAAGTGTAGTGTATATTTCAAATTTCAGTACTTTACCTGTTTCAATTGATTATCATTCAGATTTGCTTGGAACAGCTGTATCTGAAGTTCCGTGTACTTTGGCATCAGTTCCCTGAGAGGCTGGTATACTGCGCGACCTAATTCCTTAAGTGTATTGACAGGTAGAGTTTCTAGAAGAAAAGAGAATGGGGATTACAGAAGGATTCGTATTTTTTTATATTAACAAGCGTTCATTTCTATTTTAAGCCTTATCAACTTAAGGCTTCTTTAGTCTATAAATTAGATCTTTAAAAAAATCATATCCTGTTATGAAAATAGTTACTGTAGTAATTCTCTGAATAAATATAAAAGTCTAAGGGCCTGTCCCACCAAATTGTAAATACTCTGATAACAATCCAACGTGTAAAACATGTGATGGAAATATTGGATTTTGTTCCCTTATCTGATTGTGACGCCATTATTAAGCAATCTGAGCCTCTATCAGCCAGCAGTGGGAAAGGCCCTTAAACGAATGTTTAAAGCATTATTTAAATATTTTATTCTAGTCCTTACCTTTATTAGGTCTTGGTGCGTCTATAATAGCTCTAATGCAAGCTACAAATTCATCGATATCCGTCTTCAAATCTTCCAATAAAGCCATACCTTCTTCTGGACTTTGACATAATTTGAAATTAGCTGATACCACCTAAAGATAATTAAAAAAATACTCTACTAGTATACCACATTCAGAACATCAAGATTATTTTTTTTTAAACAGGAATATAGTTATCTGCTTTGTTTGTGGAAAGTTTATGAAAGCAATGAAAGCTAACAAATACGCCGGAACTCAAATACTTCCAGAAACGCATTAAATCCGTCAATTTCATTGGTCGTCAATGAGGTCCAGGAATCCCTGGGGTCGGGTGTAGGGACACAAGTTGAAGAAATATAGCATCAGGGGGTTAGAAAAAGTCACATTTTTAAGGGGTGTACGAGAAGAAAAGTTTGACAATCTCAGATTTAACTACAGTACTAGTTTTGATCCTGCAGTATTTCTTATAATAGAAAACAAAATAATTTCTAAATGAATTTTACTAAATCCAAATTTTGAATTCATTTGGCTCTAAATTAGTTGGCGTCTTATACAATTCTTAAAGTTAAGCAATTACACTTACCTTAGTAGGCGAGGGGTCCAACGACAACAATAGGTCCGTGTACAGCCTGACTATTTCCGCTAGAGGCGTCTCTGACTTCAACACTGTTGATAACCATTCCACCTGTAACATAAAGGCGGATGTACACGGACTGTTTCAAGATGAGACAACTTTAAAACGGTGATCTCTTTAGGATCAAAATCTTTATGGTAACCTAGGATCTCAATATATAACAATACAAAATACATAAAATGCTATAAAGGGTTTTCATTTTTTATTCTTCAAAATCAATGCCCAAAGATCCCCAAAGATTTAAGATCCGACCCCCCAAAGATTTAAGATGCGACACTCAAAGCTCTAAATTAGAACCCCATAGTTCTAGATCCGACTCCTAAAG